CCCAGTGCCTAGTTGATTAAGTTGCACAACCCCTCTTTGAGATGGCCCGGGACTTGCAGAAAGATTAACGTTGAAAATTATCTTCAGTCCAACCCTTAACCCCCCCTCTCCTTAAGCAATAAATGGGGAAGAATGCAAACTATCATCAAGACAGTACCAAAAAGCATGACATCGAATTTCATTTACCCCTTGTTATTACTACTTCAAAGCAGAGCAAAGTGGATCACCTTCTAGATTCCAAAGAAAAAGGAAAATGAAAAGGAAAAGAACCTCAGTACATACCTGCAAAATCTAGGGACAAATTCCAGTGGACTGATATGAGGATGACGGTAGGGAGTGGTGGACATGGGCTCAGCGGGTGGCACACTTGCGACACTGGAAAAGCTTAGACAAAGCCGGAGATGGCCTTCCAGATCCTCGTCCGTCAGTGGGTTACACACTCAGATTCTTGCGCGGCTTGGAGGTTGCTGAAGTGGAGCTGGCGGAAGTGGTGGAGACGGAGCTACTGCGCAGCGATGGCAGTGGCGGAAGTGGGAGGAAGTGGTGGAGATGGAGATAGCAGTAGCAGCAATGGAAAGCAAGCCGAAGTGGGAGGAAGTGGAGACTGGAGACGGAGCTAGCAGTAGCAGCGATGGCAGTGGGAGTTTGGGACAGTCGGTCGGCGGCGGAGAGAAGTTAACCTAATCGAAGGAAGGAGGAAAGTTTAGATTACTGTGGCCGAAATCGATTGTAGCTTAGAGCCTGAGAGTGTGCAGAAAGTTGTAAATTTTAATTGATACATGGGTATTTTTATAATTTCACATGTACTCGAGTCAAACGAGCGGCTCGTCGAGTTATCGAGCCTAAGAAATGAAGACTCGAGATCGCCTCGTGTGTCTTGACGAACGGCTCGAGCTCGTGTTGACCGAGCTCGAGTCGAGCTTTGACTCGAGCTTGCGAGCAGCTCGAGTCGTGAGCAGGCCTAGTCATGGGGAAGCAGACAGGCAGGCAAATGCGGTGTAAGACGTTTTGTCCAACCAATTGACAATTTGTTCAAGTGAAATTCCACGTCACTAAAACTCTCCAAAGAAGAATCCGTTTTCCATGTCAGAAATGTGGGGTCCATCATTCTGTCGGGGAAGAATCGGCGAAGAATATGCACGACACGCAGAGAATTATGCTCTTTCTGGGTGCGAATATCCATTTTGAACCATTTCTCTCCATTATAATTCTAAAGCAAGCCGGCGGTTGTCAATTGACAATATTGCCCCAACGCAGCGCTATACTCCAGTCGCAATTTTAGGGGCTGTCCTGATTGACTTCAACATGAATTCACATGATTGCCCTCTCTACATCGTTAAACAATTTTTAAGGGAAAAAAAAGGTTATATTATTTTCATTTGGCCTTACGTGGGTTCTATATAATTTTAGAGAATTGTTAATTTCATTTCATTTTTTGTTAATGACATTTCTACTATCATTTTTATTATATAATTTTATTTATTAGACTACATAATGAAACAAGTAATGGGACTGCCATTAAAAAAAAAGAATAGTAAGTTTGGATTGTAATTTATTACACCTTGGGTTCATTTGGATTCCTTGTTTTTGCTTCTGTTTTTGAAAAACTGTTTTCCACATTCCAAATGCTACAGTAAATGTGTATTTAAAAAACAACTCCTCCAAACAATATATCAAAAACAATTCCAAATATACATCTTTAATATGTATATTTCAATTTGCATATTTCAATTATGTATACTATGTGTATATATATATATTTATATAAATTTATAAATATATTTATGCAATTTTGTTTTATAATATCTATTAATAAAAATTAAAGTGTATATTTCAATTATGTATATTATATACAGATTATATTAATATTAATGTATATTATATATATTATACATTTATAATATTATATATTTTTATATTTATTTATACATATTATAAATATTTTATTTTATTTATAATATATTTTTATATATTTATAATATATTTATATAAATATTAAATATTAAATATATATAATATATTATACATTTATATATATTTATAATATACATTTATATTATGTATTATGTTTAATATAATACATTTGTACATTCATATTAATATACATAATATTAATTATACATTTATACATAATATTAATACATTTATACGTAATATTAATATATATTTATAATATATTAATTTATACATTTATATAATATTCATTTATAATTTATACATTTATAATAATATACAATTATTACATTTATAATTATATTTATATTATGTAATATATATAATATAATACATTTATATATTTATATATAATTATGTAAATATATTTATTTATAAATGTATTATAAATGCATAAATGTATTATAAATGCATAAATGTATATAAATATTTAAACAATAAAAATTATAAATTATAAATAATATTAATTATATATTTATACATAATATTAATACATTTATACATTTATATAAATTATATTAATACATTTATACATAATATTGATATATATTTATAAATTATAATTTATACATTTATATAATATTCATTTATAATTTATACATTTATAAATATATTTATATTAGTATTATATATAATATAATACATTTATATATTTTTTATATAAATATATTTATTTATAAATGTATTATAAATGCATAAATGTATATAAATATAAAAATTATAAATTATAAATTATAAAAATACTCAAAAATATGTTTTAAAAATACCTCAAAAAATAATCCAAAAAACATCTATAGTAAAATTTTTTCATATAATTTTTGAAAAACAACCTAAAAAACAACTAATCCAAACGGACTTGTATTTGAAAAACGAAATGCTACAGTGTTGTTTTTGAAAAACAACCCAAAAAACAGCTAATCCAAACGTACCTTTATTTACGCACACTGACTTACTTGCATCATCATCAATTCATTTTTCAATTATCTTTTTATCTCACATACATCATATCAAAAAAATGCTACCGTAATTTTTTCACAAAATTATTTCAAATAATTTACAATCCAAACATTAGCATTCCCTTTTATCACTTGCGGGGGAATCGCATGTGTGGACCAAATCTCATTTGGAAGATTGTAGGGCGCTTTAAAGGAGTTTAGTCAGTTGCACAGGGACATACATCATCTTTCTAGCCACATAGTTCCATTTTTAACTTATCTAAACATTAACGAATATTTTTCAACTTTTTCAACGGAATTTTAAAATTAAATACATATTTAAATTTTAAAAGAAAACATTTATAACTCATTTTAATTTGCTGAGAACAAGCGTTATGGCTTTGAAAATGAAACAAAGAGAATGAATGAAATATAATTTTACACGTTAAAAGGATCGATGAATTACAAATTTAAATATCTTTGAAGTCACTTGCATAACTTTGAAGGATTCGAAAGATTTCAAATTTTGCGTTAAATTCTCAATTTGAATATAAAATCTTATGACAATTTACGCAAGATCTCAAGACTAGTCGTGGCCAGAACTTCAACCACCAAAATTTAATGCAATCACTTTACGTTAAATTCAATCCATGCGTAATGAAAAGGACACCCATTTGTAGTAATATTTTATTGGTTCAGATTTCAGAAATCAGAATGCGGCATCTGTTCTGTGTTTCCCCGGTGAAGGTATCATTTTCAAGCTTGATGTGCAAATTGCAACACCAGATATGAACGCGACTTGGCAAATGAAGACCTGAAAATTTTCGCACTTCAACTTCATTGGAAGAAAAAAGGACATTTCTCTTTCAGGATACCAACACGATAGAATGGGAACAATTTTGTCAACAAAGTTGAAAATTAAAGAGTGAGTGAGTTTCTCTCGTTTTCTGCTTTCATCATTTGCAGGTGTAGGTTAGGTGTAGCCACTGGATTCGGTGTTGCTGATCTAATTGGCCTGCTGATGAAACCCTTACCAACGAACATTCACTTGGGCACCCCATATTACAAGTGTATGATCTACTCGTCCCGAATCAAGAATTCCACCTGGCCAGCACTGAAATTGATTTTATATTTTAGCAACATTATCGGTTTACTTTCTTCCTGTGGCCAGCATTAATGTCATTAATGAAGAATACGTACCTCTCCGATCCAGAGTACATAGAAAATTTGGAAAAATGAAGTCGTCAACTGCGTCGTTTCTAATCGGAAATCGGAGGCTTCAGTGGATAGCTCGGTTGGTTCCGGTCATCTGTCTTTACAGCAAGGTCCCATGTTTGACACTCACTTGCTACCGTTGTTGGGCATTAGTCCGGATGATTCCGGAATATCCCCCAGACCGTAAAAAAAAAAAAAAAAAAAAAAAAAACCGGAAACGGGAAATGTGAAAGCTCTGTATTACCTCAATAAAAAAGGGGAGAAGGAAAAAGGCTAGCAAGCATTACGTGACTTATTTAACAAGGAACTTATAAATATGAAGAAATGCCTCTAAGGCATGGATAGTCAAAGTTGGATTTTGTTTTATGCGAATTACTAGGACAAACGGGATGCAAGTCAATTGATTTGAGGATACTTCATCACAAGATCTCAAGAGTCAAGTTAAAATGTCCGGATTAGACTCCCAAATTCTGAACTCTCTCTCTCTCTCTCCCTCGTAAAGATGAGGTATCTTTTGCTTTTATTAACACAGAAGCTTAGGTTGTGTTTAAATTGCAATTTTTTGGATTGCAATACTTAGTATAAGTATTTTAGCATATATTATAAATAAAAAAATATTCAATGATAAATTAAAATGTACTTTAAGTGGTTGATAAAATGATATGACTATCACAAGACAGTATTACGAGTTAAGACTCGCATAAAGTGAAAGAAGCGCTAATATAAAATGTTTAATTTAGAAATCTGATATTAGTAATTGCGTATCAAAGTAGTCAGATTGAGTGCTCACATAGATCCGAACTCTAAAACTTAATTAAAGTTGTAACTAGTCCAATAAGATGATTATCTACGAGATTAGAGGTTTATTGGGATTTTTCTCCCACAAGTAACAAGTAAAGGGGACAGAAGTCGTCTTACGAATTTCAAGTAATCAAGACTTATGACTTATCCCTCAAGGGGCAAAGATGTCAACCGGGGCTATCGAGTTTTCCCACCTCATCAAAATTGATAGTTCAGATGATGGCAGGATTGTTCCAATCTACTGGATGGCCATCAGTGGTGGCAGTTGTTGGGAATTGGTTTGGGAAGAAGAAGAGAGGGCTTATAATGGGCATTTGGAATGCTCACACTTCTGTGGGTAACATTACAGGGTCCTTGGTTGCTTCGGCTTTATTAAAGTATGGATGGGGATGGTCAACTGCTGTTCCTGGTCTGGGAATTGCCTTCATTGGCTTGATGGTATTCCTTTTCTTACCTGTTAGTCCGGAGTCTGTTGGGGCCAACAATGATGAAGAAGATGAAGAATGCTCTCCCAAAAAAGATGGCGAGGAAATATCAGAACCTCTTCTCAGATCAGAGAAGGAAGAGGTGGAGTCTGCAGTTGGGTTCATCGAAGCATGGAAAATTCCTGGTGTTGCACCTTTTGCTCTTTGCCTATTCTTCGCCAAGTTGGTGGCTTATACGTTTCTGTATTGGCTTCCTTTTTATATTAACCATACAGGTACCCATCATTCTTGGATTTTTTGATTGGCTTGTATATTTTCATTCCTCAATTCAGGCAGCAGACCTTAGTTGATTGCCTTTTTAGTTCCACAATTGTGCGGGTCACCTTTCAATACAAGCTGTTTGATACATTTTATTGACCTCTCTTTGTTTTTGGGCTGCAGCTATAGATGGAAGGTACTTGTCTGATGAAGAATCTGGAAACCTGTCGACATTGTTTGATGTTGGAGGGGTTGTTGGAGGAATTCTAGCCGGTCATATTTCCGATCATTTAAATGCTAGAGCTATAACAGCTGCGAGCTTTATGTACTGCGCTATTCCTGCTCTGTTCTTTTACAGAAGTTATGGAAACATCTCGATGACCATGAATATCATCCTCATGTTGATCACCGGCATGTTTGTCAATGGACCTTACGCTCTCATCACAACTGCTGTATCGGCTGACCTGGGAACACATAGCTCATTGAAAGGCAACGCCAGGGCTTTAGCAACTGTTACTGCAATAATAGATGGCACTGGCTCAATTGGAGCTGCCATCGGTCCACTGCTAACAGGGTACATTTCAGCTAAGAGCTGGAATGCAGTTTTCACAATGCTCATGGCAGCTGCTCTAGTTGCGGGTTTGCTTCTTACTAGGCTTGTTGTGTCAGAGGTGGCTACCAAGATTCAAGAGTCGAGGTCCTGTCCAGGGCCGCCTCCTGTTGAAGTGTGATTGTTCTTGGGGAGGTAACGTATTTAATGGTGCTTGTGTATATTCTTGCTTTAGCTCTAATCCTCGGATGATACACATGAAGAGGTGAAGAATCTTCTGGTGTTAAAAACCAAGACAGGAGAGGGTGTTTTATGTCCTCCTTCCAGGTTGAAACAACTTACTAATCGGTTCTCAGAAATTTTGCAAACCAGGCGAATATGCGACAGTATCTAAATTGTGTGTGTCCTCGGAAGGTTCTCAAAAATTGTCAAAAATTGTTCTGATGTCTGGGTGTGCCCTTTGAAAAGAACAGATGGGTATGATGTTAGCAACTTGAGGCTGTGTATCTTGATACTTATTTTTCATGTATATAAGGCGTGGATAGAAAGCAGAAAGCCTGCAATGTATGACTGCTCAGTGTAACAACATATCAGGTTACATTCAGGCATTTGTTGATTTTGATTGAACATTTATTGTCAGTGGCTCCTTATCTGGGGTTAAAAACATCTCTCCAATGACGAATGAAATCTGCATATGTTTTTAGATGGGTTATTAAATGTTTCCTGTATCATCAACATGGTTTCAATCGTTTTCAATTGATGCTTGTTTAGCAATTTTGTTACAGAATGAATGAGCCAATTGACTATGCTAATCGCTAATTGGTAAACGCCAATTAGTAGTCAAGAGATCTCTACTACAACTTGGAACTCGGCCTTCTTTCCTCCATTTTGGGATTTCTAATTGATTCACTCCGCCACCTTTGCAAATTACTGCGGTCATTAGTGAGTCACCCTTCTGTCTTCGGACTTTCTTTCTCAGTTCTTCTGTAAGTGGAAGTTTCCGGTTCCAAACCACCGCTCCACTGTTTCTTTGTGTTCTTTCTTTTCCAGAGGGAGACGAGGGGAGTTGGAGGCGGGCATTACTGCTGATGGTACTTGGTCCAATTGCAACGGACAAGATAATGAACGTGTTTGGATAGGAGATTATTTGAAATAATTTTTTGAAAAAATACACTGGGAGTGTTTGGATACAAAACTTATCCCAAATAATGGGCTTGTTTGGAAGTGAGTTTTTTGGCCAAGTTTTTTAGCTATAAGTTTTTTAACAACTTTAGTTACAGGAACCCAAAAAAACTTATCAAATTTTTTAATCTACACACTTCAAAATATCTAATACACAAAAAACTTCTATCTTTCTTCTTCTTTCTCCCCCCACCCCATCCACCATATCTTCATCGCCGGCCACCACCTCTGCCGCCGTTTCCGGCGCCGGCCACCTATTCCGGCACCGGCGTTCCCAAATTTTTTTTTTCCTTTCTCCCTCCCTGGCCAAACTCCCCCGACCGATGCAGTAGCAGCAGTTACTTTCCTCCTGCTCTAGTACTTAAAAACCTTTCATCTATCGAGAAAACCTACCCAGATTCCATCGAGCCTGCCTAGCTGACTTCTAAAGAGGATGCATTCCTCCTTGTAGGCAGAGGCAGCATGAAAATGAAAGTCAAGCACAAGCAAGTCAATCCAGCAGAGGATGAAGATGACCAGTTCGTTTGAAAGAAGAGATCTTGATCAAATGGTCAAGCAGAAAGCACAATTGACTTCAGTCACGCCAACGCTACAGCTGACGGGGGAACAGGGAACAGAGGGGGTGGGGATGGCGGGGCAGAGGGGGTGGCGGCAAACGGGAAACGAGAAGGGGAACAGGGGAGGGGGAAACGAGAGAGGGAGGGCTGGCGGGGGGAGGGGGTGGCGTGCGGGGGAAGGGGCTCGGGGGTAGCGGGGGCCAGGCTGGGGGGGGAAGGGCTGGCCGGGGAGGGGGAGGCGCAGGGCAGCGGGGGCCAGGCTTGCAGAGGGAAGGGGAAGGGGGCAGAGGGGCTGGTGGGGGAGGGGGAGGCAGGGGGCAGCGGGGCCGGGCTTGCAGAGGAGGGAAGGGCAGAGGGGCTGGGGGGGAAGGGCTGGTGGGGCGGCGGGCCGGGCTTGCAGAGGGGAGGGGGAAGGGGCAGAGAGGCTGACGGGGGAAGGAGGGTGGTGGGGGAAGGGCTGGCGGGGGAGGGGGAGTCGGGGGGCAGCGGGGGCTGGGCTTGTAGAGGGGAGGGGGAAGGGGCGGAGGAGCTGGTGGGGGTGGCGGGGGAAATGCAGAGCAGAGGAGAAGGGGAAAGGGCGAAGAAGAGTGGTGGGAGGGGGAAGGAAGAAGAAGAAGAAAAAGAAAGAGAGGAAAGAAAAGAAAAAGGAAAAAAAGAAAAAGAAAGAGAAAGAAAAAAAAAAGAAAAAGAAAAGAAAAGGAAAAGAAATTCACCTCACAAAAACTTTTACAAAATTTTTTATCTTACAAAAACTACTACAAAAAAATTTTTCACCTTACAAAACTTCTACAAAATTTTTTCAAAAACTTCTACAGTGCACTAGAGTAAAGTTTTAGACAAACTCTCAAAAAACTCAGGTTCCAAACAGGCCCATTATTTGGCTTGCATCATAAACACATTTTTCAACCCACCTTTTTATATTCCCAACCACCTTTTTATCTCACATACATCACATCACAAAAAGTGCTACAGTAATTATTCCAAATAATATTTCAAATAATACCCTATCCAAACAAACCTACTGTAACATTTTTTTGATATGATGTATGCGAAACAAAAAGATAGTTGAAAAATGTATTTGCGATGCAAATAAATAAATTTGTAAAAATAAAAAAGGAAAATTTATTCAAAATGTTCCTCACATATTTTGCTAAAAGAAGTTTTTCTTTTTTTATTTTTAAAATAGTAATTTATGTTCCTTACAAAATCAACACGATAAAATTTAGTCCCAATCTAGATTTTGACCAATTTTTACACTAAATTCATCACGTAATCTACACATTGTCATTTTTTTTTGGCAAAAAAGATTTGAGTTTCGTTTATGGTTAAACAAATGACCCGATCCATAATTATTTTCACCCCTAAAAAAGTAGGATCTAACTTGAATTTTATTCATTTTTCTCCTAAAAAGTGGAATCCGATCTAATTCATATTCATCTTTTGCCTCTAAAAAAAGTAAATTTTGATTTTTTTTTCTACATAAAAGTGATTGCATGTGGATCATATGGTGATTTCAAATTAAAAAGTGATTAAAAATTTAGATTGGGACAAAATTTTGCTTACTTAAATTTGTGAGAAACATAAAATTAATATTTTAAAGATGAAAGATTTAAAAAAAAAAAAAAAAATTCATTCGACGAAATGTACAAAACTTTTTAAACGATTTTCCCAATAATAAAATATCCAATTATTATCAAATGTACTGCTAGAACTTACATGCAGGGGTTCTGGAATCTGCACCGTGTTAAGAAACTTCAAGGTCCTAGTGATCATAACAAATGGATGGCTCCAAAGAAAAACGTTCTGAAAATAAACGTAGATGGAGCTTTCTCAGATGAAGGGGCTGGAATTGGATTAGTGTTAAGGAACCACCTAGGCCAAATTGAAGCAGCAATGTCGGAAAGAATTTCAGGAGCTTATAGCGCAGATCATGTGGAGGCCTTGGCTTTTCTCAATGCCCTGCAGTTAGCCAAAGACTATGGAATTACATTCTTCCTAGTTCCTACTTGAAGGGGATGCACTGAATATCGTGCAGAGAATCAAAAGTAGTGAACCTGATTTGTCCTTAATTGGCAATTTGATTCATGTTATTAGGTTCATGATGGCTGACTTTGATTTTGTCAAAGTGTTTCAGTAAAAAGGACTAGGAAATGTTCCTGCTCATATTTTAGCTAAGGTGTGACTTTTCATATAACTTTTTATTTACGTGGTAAAATTGATTCTTGTATAATTGTATTGAACGACATAACAAGATAGGGCAGAAATGAATATTGCTATTTAATCTTGAGAAATGAGTCTTTGCAACAGATTTCAATCATGTTTTTACCATATGGTACCTGAAAAGACATTCTCAGAGAGCGATTTTCTTTCATAAATCAATTTTTTTTTCTGTGACAAGCATATGGCAACATGGTTATCCTTAACAGATTAACTAAGCTAGACATGTAAGGCTTTCATTTCATGGTGCGTAATCTGAAGGGGAGTAAAAGATGTTACTACAGACAAGGAACCAGGAAGTATATGGAAAGACTATAAAACAACTAAATCAGAATTTTCAGTAATCGAGTATCTGACCAAAACGGCAGCAATCACCTCACAAGATTTAACCACTTATTCAGCAAATATTTAACTCCCCATCTCCCCACCAGAAAAAGGTGAAATAATGACCAAACTATGAGATATCCTGTTCCACCACTGCACTTTCTTGTATCAGTCAAAATGAAACCAACTAATCGACCTGCCAAATTCAACACCAAGAGCCCTTATAAGACTGAAAGATAGGAAAAGTTACACCCCATCAATAGCATAAACACCAAGCAAGTACAACAGCAAGTATTTCTAAGCATGTAGCTTGCATGCAAACAAATCTAACCACTAAAACCTAAATAAGGCCTGTTGGGATCCTCTATGCCACTACTCGGTGCCAAATTCAGTGTCAATCTCATTTATCACGTAATGATAGAAGAAATTTAAATAAATAGCACATGACAAATTAAATAAACAGGACACTTGGCATAAATATAGAAGTGGCAATGAATTGCCACTGGAAAAGTGGCACTGAGGATCTCATGTGAAATAAGGCGATTCTATATCTATCATACAGCACAATGGGTTCCAATCAAAGTCCTGTATCCAACTTCACTGGTACAGAATGTCATTCCAGAGCTAGGTAGAATCACTTGACAAGATCACTCCTATCACCATATTACAGAGAAAAGAAACTTGAACATTGATCGAGAGAGAAATGCTATACTCACTAAGCAATTAACATCAAGCATACAATTCTCCACCAAACCATCCGAAGGACAAATCCTCATCGAATACTAACTAGATATACCGTCATTTTAGTATCAAACTGAAGGTTTGTTATATGTTCTATTGGAGTATATCATTCAATGCCATGGAGATGGCAAAGTCACTAAACTTGCAGCTATTGTTTCACAATTTAATAGAGAGTTGAGGAGATTTGTAGCATTAGCACGTTATCCTCCATTTCATATGAGATTCTCTCTACCAACACAATGTCGATCCAATGTACACCTCCATAAAAGAATTTTTATCTCAATTTTTGTTGTTTATGGAAATAAAGCACCAGAAAAGGAATGGAGCACAGGTCCCCTAGTGGAACTCAGATGCGAAATGCAATTGAACACAAGTCAACAGCATGATAGCAAATGCAGCGTTTTGGATAAAACGATATATGTACCTACAAGGATGTGCTTTAACTGCTAAATCCATAGAAAGGTCCAACTCCAACCCCTGAACTATTCTTTAAACAGTGGTGCATTCTAACGGAATAAGAATTTACAGTAGAAAGCATGATCATCACCATACTCCATAGAAATATAAGGAGTATCTAGTTCAGGTTCACCTCCATAAATCTGTCAAGAATCTAGCAAAATTGCATAACCCTCTGATAGGTTCTTGTGCATATATTGCAGTAATTTCCAATTCCAGTGACACCAATAAATCAGATAGAAAAAGAAATGAGGCCCCTCGCCCCAATCAGATTCATACGGTGATGACCTCCATTACGTGTGGAACAGCAATATGAAAGTGAAAATCAAACACATATAATACACGCATGCAGTATTACTACGCCGAAACAGACATATTAAATTTTTTAAAAAATAAATATACAATCAAATTATTGGGATGCGAAATCACTGTAGACATCTCCGGTGACTTTAACGACTGAATTAGAAACTGTATAGCTCATAACATAAACGAAAAAGAAAAATAAATGGTTGGCGTGAGGAAGAAACGCACCGGATCATAATTGAAGAAAAGAAAAGCAATTGAACTAAACGCCGTCGCCGGGCTTCTTGGGCTTGCGATACTTTTCTTCGACTTCTTTCGCCCGAAAGAGGAATTCGTTGGTAAGATTCCTAATATTTGGGACGTTATAGTTCTGGGCTATGTATATTCCGCAAACTGTACCCGCTATGAACGAGAAGCTGCTCCTGATTATCCCCATCAACCCGTCCTCCCAAGCCCCAACACCCCCGCCCCTTTCTGTCTCTTTTCCAAACGCTGCAAAAATTCACATTTAGGGCTTTCTATGGATTCACTATTATTATGGTCGACTTGCACACCACAACAGTCGATTGCCCACGACGGCCGGCCGCAGTAGCGAGTCGAAGACGAAGCACGTCAGCTGCCACTGATTCTGACTACTAAGCACACTCCTTTTTCTTAGTTGTGGGCCGAGCACTGGTACTTCTCGCTCTTAATTCTCGGTTTTCTTGGGCCGGACTGTCCGGGTCCAGTATATTACGTTTAGCCCGAGGTAATACGTTTCTTTTCTTTCTTTTATTTTATTTTTTAAACCACCTTTCCATTTAATTAGTGGTCATTGGCCTTGGTCCAAGAAGGTGAATTTTGGGCAAAGGTTTGATTGGGGATAGAATTTTCATGCATTATTTACTTGGGAGGCGACCAATGAAAGAAAACGCTTCATCTCAGGTCAACACCTTCTACGTTTGTCGGTGTGGACAGACAGGCATTTAAGGATTAAAAATTCAGGACAGATTTTAATTACCTGGGATGAGCTACAGCAAAATTCAAGTACTTTATTAGATTTTTGTAAGAATTTTTTTATGTGCGCTGTCGTTTAAAGAATTTATTTCAGTGCAACAATTCTTTGATACATCTAAGCTAACCATGCTTCCCATTAATATGCCTCTATATGGGATTAGTTCTAAATCCATACAGGTGCGTGGCGCACTCGTCTGATCACCGACTCTGCCGAGTAAGAATAGGTGTATGTTAAACTAAATTAAATGTATCGTTGCATAAAAAAAAATTACTTTATAAGAGTTCCGTATGAAAATCATTTGATTCCAAATAACTCTGTGCATACAAAATTCGAAACTAGTAATGTATACATGACGTAACTAATCATTCTTGGTGTAAAATACAAGAAAAAACAAATTCATCATTTTTTTGTTCTTCTAGAATATATATATATATATATATATATACGCGGTGATCTATACGTGCCACTGACGATGGTGACAAGTAACCCAACTCATGATTAAAGTTTATCAAACACTACTCACGCACACATTAAAAGAAAAAGAAACAACAAAATGAGTAAAAATAAAAAAATGCACTGGGCTCCCAAATGATTAAACGTGCTCTTATCTCTTTTTTTTTATTTTAATTTTCCCCATCTATTGTCGGTTATTGTCATTGAGATCATCTTATCACGTATGGGCATATCAAAAAAAAAAAAGAATGAAAATTTTGTGACCGTGTCTCCAAAAAAATTGCACTGGTCTAATGGATTATACTGTCCCGCTGCTTGACCCAAAAGCCACCAAAAGAACGCAAAAAAAAAAAAAGAAAAAGAAAAACCCTCTAGTAGTATCATATCATTATCATATCATATATGCACTCAGTACATTCAATGATTTTGGGCGGCCAGAATTTTTCAAAGTGTAGACCAAAGTGTAAATTCAAACATTAAGTCCCAATTGAACCTGCAAAGTGAAAATTTTATTCTGATTAAACCCTTTCAATTTTTTTGGCCACTGCTGGGTCGGCCCTAATGATTTCATCATTTTGTATTTCGCCAATGACGTTTGACTAAAGTTTAGTGGTAAAGTGAAATCTTATCAATTTCTTTTAGAAGCTTTAAAGCAATTAACTTCTCGTCTTATTGATCTAAGAAGGATTTAAAATATTACTCTTCTAATCCAAAAAAAGATTTTGCTGCTAGTTTCAATCTTGCGTATATGATTAGAAGAGTACTATTGTATCCTTTTCAGCTCATTTACATGGGAGCTTAATTACTCTAAAGTCCCTAAGAACCGGTAGCGAAAGAGATTATTTGAGACAAAATTTTCATTTTGGAGGGCTTAATTGGAATTTGATTACTCTCAAGAGTTGAATAAGAACTTTGATCTACTTTGAAGAGCTAAATTGAAATTCATCCTTTCTGACGTAAAAAACTTGAGGTTCAAACTTGGATGACAACAGCTGAAGTATAGGAAGATGATGCAATATTCAAACTTGTTGATAATCCAACATAGTCTCTTGTCCTCAATTTTATATAAACACTGAATGAAGAAAGATTCGATACGTGTTAGTAATCATTAAAATTGCTATCAAGGTCACCAGGAACAGGTTCATTGAATTACTCATGTATGCCCCCTCTTGTTGGATACATTACATGTATTTCTTAAAGAGTTATGGAAACTATAAGTAACTCTTTTCCCTATGTTCTGCCCCTTTATTTATTTTTCGAGATAGTCCTTAAGCCAAATTTAAACTGCATTTTGTCCGAGGTTTATAAGAACTTTTAAGAGTTGTATCTCGGAGATAACCAAAAAAAAATTGTAGATCCTCCATTAATCGAAAATTAAAAAGTATTTATCTATAAAATTAGGAGAAGACAGGCCTTCATGATTTGGTTGAAACCATTAGTGAAAAGAATAAACATTTTAATCATACGATGCAAGTTTTTGCAGAATGACTTAAATTGTCCATTGCTATACATAGTCCGTCTCCCTATCCATTGCAAGCCTAGGAAATACTTTCAACGATAAATTATATATTATGCCAATTGCAACAACAAATTTTTAGAACTTTTTTTTTTTTCTTGACGTGGATGGCAAATTTACATATGTCTAAACTCTTTCATATATACGTATTTCTTGCAGTATTATTGTTGTCGGTTATAATTCCTTTAATAACATATTTACGGATTGCTTTTCCATTTTAAAAAGCTGCCAAAAGATCATCTTTATAATAATAAAAAGACAAAAGAGAATAATAAAAAAGAAAAAAAAATCAAAGATCATGTCAGATCAAAATTTTTGCGCAATGATTGATTAGCATGTTGCCCCTAAACTTATTGTAGACTTCTGACTTATCCCCAAAACTATCAATTGTAACACCTCTATACTTTGCAATATTTATGGCTAATTATGATGATCCAATGGTATTCTAGAATATTGTTTTGCGAGAAAAATGCGCTAATGAACCTAAAAATACGTGTTCTTCTAAGCATTCCAATAGAACTTCTAAATTTTACTTGCAACCAATTAGTGTTGCAAAATATAACTATATTGTAAAATCAATAGTAAATGAAAGAAGTTAATCCTATAACCTGTACAAACACGTAGTTCATACTATCAAAAGTTCTTATGTCCCTTTTTTTGTTCATAATCAAAAGTTCTTTTGTTTTGAATGTAAGCATTAATTTGATGACAAAACAATAAAAATGAGAGTTGAAAAGAAGAGACATGAAAAAAGGTAAAATGACAGTAGTAATATAGTAAGAGAACACATATGGATAATATTGATCACTTCAATAAATTAAAATACTTATCTCTATATAATTTCCTAGAACACTTTGAGTTGATCCGGGCAACGTATAATGAATATAAAATATATATATATATATATCATGAAATGATTATAATTGATAGTGTAAGAGGCAAAGTGCAAATTGACCATAGTTCATTGGGCACTTTGCAATTAACCCTAATCAGAGATTAGGCGGAACGAATTACGGCTGTTGAAAAATTACGAACCTTCCTTGAATATTATAATCGCGGATTCCACACCAGGTCCTTTCAAGAAAAGGACAAAATACTGGTATATAGAATATAGCATGACAAAGGAGATAATAATTCTGACAATCTTGTGCGACTAGGAGTGCACTTTTAGTCGAGGATTACCAAATACTGCTACATATACGTCACGCTATAAATCTAATTAGAATTTCAAAAAATTGGTATTTTTTTAAACCAAATAATAATAATAAAAATAAAGAAAGAAGAAAGAAAAGGAAAAAAAGACTTGCACTTTTTTTTTTTTTTGGTTGGGAACCTTTTCACCTATTAATATTAACAGTACTAGTACAAGTTAATATGTGTACTTTGTTCAATGTTTATATGATTAGACTTGGCTTTCCCGCAAAAACTGTCTCTTTACCTCTCTCTCCGTCCTTCTCTTGAGAGGTGAAGATCGCCGAAGATTTTCATCTGCATTTGCCGACGTCCTTTTATTCGTCTTTCATCTGAAGATCGGCTCAGGTTTAGGATTCACCCGCCATTTATGTACCATTTTCATGTTCTCGATTTTGTTCCGGATTATATATGATTCAGGTTTTGTCTATATTTATCTGCGTCCACGCATACCGATTGGATTCGTCAATCCGTGTTTTATTCTTGAATTTGGTTAATTAGGAACGAGGCTAAGGAAATTTGTGTCAATCCTTAAGTTTTCCTAGAACCCCTAGTAATATTACCTTCATCAACCCTGCTTCTAGGGTTCGCATTTTTGTTCAAGTATGTTTCTTTTTTTCCCCCTTTACCTATTGAAACTAGATACTGTAATTAGATTAGAAATTCTCTAAAAGCCAATTCATTTCATTCGCCACTTTCTCGTTGATTTTGCCTTGATATTTATTTGGATTGTCTCAAGTACTGGTTTTGTTTTTGCGTGTACGTCTCATTCTGGAGAGTTAAATGGGATTTGACTTGTATTCTAAACTTAACTATCTTTTACCTTTGGACAATTTCAGTAATTTGGCATTAAGGGAATAGGGTCTTATCTGTAGTAAAGGGCATTTAATTTTCAGTGGCTTAAAAAGGATAGTAAATGGTGATGCTGATTACTGAAATGATAGAAGATTTAGTGCTGCATAGTTCCCACTGTTTCACCAAATATGTGTTGCTGGAGACTTTTTTAGGATAGAGAATGTATAACTTGGGTAAAATAGCAAACGACACATGAATAAAACCAGATGACTATTAATGTCCAACATAGGTTCAAGAGGTAGCAGATCATCTTCTTACAGGTGTATACTTTAAATATAAATTTTTGTTTAGTATGTGTCTATTTCATAGTTTGGATTCTCGATCCTTTCTTAGATCGTGCCCCAAATTAGGTTTTGGCCCCTTTGTACCGGTTTTTAGATTTCTTTATTTTTCTATTCTGCATTTAATGGAGGTTCCGTTCTTGCAGTTTGGCTGTTCTCATCTTTCGGTAGATGGCACATCACTGAAGTTTTTGCTGTTCTCCCTCCCTCTCAATCTTGTGCTACGGTCAGTTTTGGGAGCAAAGGATCATGCTAACTGCGCTCTCATGAAAATCTTGAACTTCAGCTGTGGTGTGGAGTCCTTGTGTATTTCCCATGGGTGTGAGCTACTTATCTGTCTCAGTGGTCTGCACAGTTTTGAGCTTTGTCGGACTTCA